TCATACTGATTGATTTGCCAATATTGAAAAACCCTTGCATCCCCGGGATAAATCCCACTTGATCATGGTGTATGATCCTTTTAATGTATTATTGGAGTCAGTTTGCTAGTATTTTGTTGAGGATTTTTGCATCTGTGTTCATCAGTGATACTGGCCTGTAATTTGCTTTTTTTGTGATATCTTCATCTGATTTTGGTATCAGGGTGATGGTGGCCTCATAGAATGAGTCTGAAATTTTCCTTCCTCTGCAATTTTTTTTGGAATAGTTTCAGAGGATAGATGCTAACTCTTCTCTAAATGTTTGGTACAATTCACCTGTGAAGCCATCTGGTCCTGGATATTTGTTCCTTGGGAGTTTTTAAATTACTGACTCAGGGAATTCCCTGGTGGTCCAGTGGTTGGGACTCCGTGCTTTCACTGCCGTGGGCCCAGGTTCAATCCCTGGTCAGGGAACCAAGATCCGGCAAGCCATGTGGCGTGGCCAAAAACACTGCTTCAATTTCAGTACTGGTAATTGGTCTGTTTATATTTTCCATTTCTTCCTGGTTCAGTCTTGAAAGATTGTACCTTTCTAAGAATTTATCCATTTCTTCCAGGTTGTCCATTTTATTGGTATATAGTTGCTCTTATGATCCTCTGTATTTCTGTGGTGTTGGTTGTAAATTCTCCTTTTTCATCTCTGATTTTATTGATTTGGACCCTCTCCCTTTTATTCTTGATGATTTTGGCTAAAGTTCTATCATATTTTTTTCATCTTGATATGTTTTATTTAACCTAATACATCCAAAGTATTATTGTTTCTTTTTTTATTACATAAAAAATTTAATTCATCTATGTATATACATTTTATATAATATTCTTTTCCAGTATGGTTTATCATAGGATATTGAATATAGTTCCCTGTGCTATACAGTAGGACCTTGTTGTTTATTCATTCTATATACAAAAGCTTACATCTGCTAACCCCAACCTCCCACTCCATCCCTCCCCCACCCCCTCCTCCCCCTTGGCAACCACCAGTCTGTTCTCTATGTCCATGAGTCTGTTTTTTGTTTCACAGATAAGTTCATTTCTGTCATATTTTAGATTCCACAAATAAGTGATATCACCTGGTATGTGTCTTTCTCTTTCTGACTTACTTCACTTAGTATGATAATCTCTATTTGCAAGATTTATCAGTTTTGTTTATCTTTTCAAAGAACCAGCTTTTAGTTTCATTGATCTTTTCTATTTTTTTTAGTCTCTATTTCATTTATTTCTGCTCTGATCTTTATGATTTCTTTCCTTCTACTAACTTTGGGTTTTGTTTCTTCTTCTTTCTCTAGTTGCTTTAGACGTAAGGTTAGGTTGTTTATTTGAGATTTTTCTTGTTTCCTGAGGTAAGCTTTTATTGCTGTAAACTTCCCTCTTAGAACTGCTTTTGCTGCATCCCATAGGTTGTGGATCATTGTGTTTTCATTTTCATTTGTCTAGGTATTTTTGATTTCCTCTTTGATTTCTTCAGTGAGCCATTGGTTGTTTAGTAGCATATTGTTTAGCCTGGACACATGTTTGTGTTTTTTGCAATTTTTTATCTTGTAGTTGATTTCTAGCCACATAGCATTGTGGTTGGAAAAGATGCTTGACATGATTTCAATTTTCTTAAATTTACCAAGGCCTGCTTTGTGGCCCAGCATGTGATCTATGCTGGAGAATGTTGCATGTGTTTTTGTTTTTTTTTTTTTTGCGGTACGCGGGCCTCTCACAACAGACTGTTGTGGCTTCTCCTGTTGCGGAGCACAGGCTCTGGATGCACAGGCTCAGTGGCCATGGCTCACGCACGGGCTTAGTTGCTCCGCAGCATGTGGGATATTCCTGCACTGGGGCACGAACCTGTGTCCCCTGCATCGGCAGGCAGACTCTCAACCACTGCACCACCAGGGAAGCCCTGCATGTGCTCTTGAGATGAACGTGTATTCTGCTGCTTTCAGATGGAAATCTCTATAAATATCATAAAATTCAACATCCATTTATGACAAAAACTCTTCAGAAAGTGGGCACAGAGAGAACATACTTCAACATAATAAAAGCCATATATGACAAGCCCATAGCTAACATCAATGGTGAAAAGTTGAAAGCATTTCCTCTAAGATCAGGAAAAAAAGACAAGGATGCCCACTCTCACCAGTTTTATTCAATGCAGTTTTGGAAGTCCAAGACATAGCAGTAAGAGAAGAAAAAGAAATAAAAGGGTTCCAAACTGGAAAAGAAGAAGTAAAACTGTCACTGCAGATGACATGACACTATACATAGAAAATCCTAAAGATGTTACTAGACAACTACTAGAGCTCATCAATGAATTCAGTAAAGTTGCAGGATAAAAAATTAATACACACAAATCTGTTGCATTTCTATACACGAACAATGAAATATCAGAAAGGGAAACTAAGGAAGCAATCCCAATTTACCATCGCATCAAAGAGAATAAGACACTTAGGAATAAACCTATCTAAGGAGACACAGACCTGCACTCTAAAAACTATAAGATGCTGATGAAAGAAATCAAAGATGACACAAACAGATAGAAAGATATACCATGTTCTTGGATTGGAAGAATCAATATTGTCAAAATGACTATACTACCCAAGGCAATCTATAGATTCAATGCAACCTCTATCAAATTACCAATGGCATTTTTCACAGAACTAGAACAAAAAATTTTAAAGTTTGTATGGAAACACGAAAGACCCCAAATAGCCAAAGCAGTCTAGAGAAAGAAGAACAGAGCTGGAGAAATCAGGCTCCCTGACTTCAGACTATACTACAAAGCTACAGTAATCAAAACAGTATGGTACTGGCACAAAAACAGACACATAGATCAACAGAACAGAATAGAGAGCCCAGAAACAAACCCACACACTTATGGCCAATTAATCTATGACAAAGGAGGCAAAAATATACAATGGAGAAAAGACATTCTCTTCAATAGTGGTGCTGGGAAAACTGGACAGCTACATGTAAAAGAATGAAATTAGAACATTCTCTAACACCATACACAAAAATAAACTCAAAATGGATTAAAGACTTAGATGTAAGACCGGATATTATAAAACTCCTAGAGGAAGACATAGGCGGGTCACTCTGACATAAATCACAGCAAGATCTTTTTGGATCCATCTCCTAGAGTAATGGAAATAAAAACAAAAATAAACAAACGGGACCTAATTAAACTTAAAAGCTTTTGTACAGCAAAGGAAACCATAAACAAAATGAAAAGACAACCTGCAGAATGGGAGAAAATATTTGCAAATGATGCAGTTGACAAGGGATTAATCTCCAAAATATACAAACATCTCATACAGCTCAATATCAAAACAAATAACCCAATCAAAAAATGGGCAGAAGACATAAATAGACATTTCTCCAAAGAAGACATACAGATGGCCAACAGGCACATGAAAAGATGTTCAACATCACTAATTATTAGAGAAATGCAAATCAAAACTACAGTGGGAAACAAAAAAACAAAACTGCAGTGGGATATCACCTCACACCAGTCAGAATGGCCATCATCAAAAAGTCTACAAACAATAAATGCTGGAGAGGGTGTGGAGAAAAGAAAACCCTCCTACACTGTTGGTGGGAATGTAAATTGGTACAACCACTATGGAGGACACTATGGAGGTTCCTTAAAAAACTAAAAATAGAGCTACCATATGATCCAGCAATCCCACTCCTGGGCATGTATCCAGAGTAAACCATAATTCGAAAAGATTATGTTCATTGCAGCACTATTTACAATAGCCAAGACATGGAAGCAACCTAAGTGTCCATCAACAGATGAATGGATAAAGAAGACGTGGTACATATGTACAATGGAATATTACTCAGCCATAAAAAAGAATAAACTAATGCATTTGCAGCAACATGGATGGACCTAGAGATTATCATACTAAGTGAAGTAAGTCAGACAGAGAAAGACAAATATCATGTGATATCACTTATATGTGGAATCTAAAAAAATGATACAAATGAACTTATTTACAAAACTGAAATAGACTCACAGACATAGAGAACAAACTTATGGTTACCAAAGGGGAAAGTGGGGGAGGGATAAGTTAGGAGTTTGGGATTAACAGATACACACTACTATATATAAAACAGGCAAACAACAAGGTCCTACTGTATAGTACAGGGAGCTATATTCAATACCTTGTAATAATCTATAATTGAAAATAATCTAAAAAAGAATATATACATATATATAATTTTTTTGGCCACGGGGCACAGCATGTGGGATCTTAGTTCTCTGACCACGATTGAACCCGTGCCCCCTGCAGTGGAAGCGTGGAATCTTAAACACTGGACTGCCAGGGAAGTTCATATATATATAAAATTGAATCACTGCTGTACACCAGAAACAAACACAACATTGTAAATCAACTATACTTCAATTTAAAAAATGGTTAAAAAAAATAAGTTAAAGAAATTAGTTTTAGGAGGACTGATTTTTTTCTTTTTTTACTTAAAAAGGCATTTTACAAGTGAAAAAAGCAAGTTATTCAATTGAATTCTAATTCTTTGGTTAAAAGGAAATGTTACTCTCTGACAAGGATAGAATTTTAAAAACGTATAAATAACAATGTAAAAACAATGAAGTTATGAGTAAAAGTTCAAATAGATTTCCTTTTCTAAATAGCTTTATTGAGATAAAATTCACATGCTATACAATTCACCCATTTAGAGTGTTTATTTCATTGCTCTAGTATATTTACAGAGTCGCGCAGACATCACCCCTGTAAGAAACCATATCCCGTCACCAGCTGCCCCTCCTCACCTTCTGCCATCTCCCGGGAGGTCGTGTCCACTCCTGGGGGCTGTGTCCGCTCCTGGGGGTCGTGTCCACTCCTGGGGGCTGTGTCCACTCCTGGGGGTTCGTGTCCACTCCTGGGGGGTTCGTGTCCACTCCTGGGGGGTCGTGTCCGCTCCTGGGGGGTTTGTGTCCACTCCTGGGGGGTTCTTGTCAACTCCTGGGGGTTCGTGTCCACTCCTGGGGGCTGTGTCCGCTCCTGGGGGTCGTGTCCACTCCCGGGGGTTCGTGTCCGCTCCTGGGGGTCGTGCCCACTCCTGGGTTCAGCCCTGGCTCTGGTCACTCCTCCTCCCACACTGACCTGGGCGTCTCTGGGGTGATGCTGGCTCCTGGGCTGGTCTCCCCGGGACTCAGTGCTGTGAGGCAGCCACGTTGGGGAGGCGCCCCTGCCATTCAGCCACCGTGGACAAGCGGGTGGAGAAGTCGCGGCTTCAGGTCACTTCGCCAGCCCGGTGCCATCTGACTGCCCTTTGCCGCATGAGTCCAAGCGAGAACCACCCTGCTGAGTCCAGTCAGCCCACAGGACCCGAGAGGCAGTCACCAATTGCCCTTTGGGCCGCTGAGTTTTGGGGGCCGCTAGGCAGTGGTGGACCCCTGAAACACTGTGTGGAACTGAGCCCTTCACACCCCCGTCCCCAGAGCCCAGAGTGGGCCTGGGTCCCTGGTGCCCTCGCCCCACACACCCAGGCAGCACCCCCTGCAGTGGTCCAGCAGTGCCAGCCTCTCGTCCTGTCCTGCGTGGTGCCCAGAACTTTCTGAGACACCCTCTGGTCCTGTGAAGGTTCTTGTGCCAGCTCTCCAGGCCCGACCCTCCCATCCGTCCCCAACTCCCAGGCCCACCCCCTCCTCTGCCTGGACCTCTGTCCTGCATCCCACCACCTGGGGATCCCCACTTGGGGAAACCCGGTCCTCCCTCCCAGCATCCCCACCGCTCCCTTAGAGGCATCTTCCACACGTTATGTAATCTGTCGACAGGTCCATTTCCCACACGAGGCCAAGAACCCCCTCCGAGGCGATCAGGTGGCTGCGGACACTCAGTCTTCTTCCGCAGAGCCTGGCTTGTCGTCAATAATAAATAAGTCAGGAAATGTAACTGAATGAACACTGTGTTCAGACCACCCCCGTGAGAACAAACAGGACTGCGAATCAGGAGCCCCCCCAGGCAGGCGGGTGGGGACCCTGAGAGTGCAAGAGGTGGGCTCCAGGGACCCTGAGGGGTGCTCGTGGGGAGGCAGGGCGGCTGACCGGCAGTGGGACGTCCCACGGGATGGGGCAGGGGCTGGTCCTGAGTCGGGGCGGGCAGACCCGGGGGAGCTGCGGTCGCTGGCCTGGGGCCGGCCGTCTGGGCCCACGGCTGCAGAGGCTGCGGCTGGTTCCTGGGGTTCCCACGTGGGCCAGCGTCCTGCCTTCCTGTGTGGCCCGGCCACCGGCCACTGTGTGTCCGGTTTCTCCTGAGGAGGGAGGAGACTTCTCGAGAGGGTGAAGGCGGGAACAGAGGCGGGGCTGGGAGCTGCTCCCGCGATTCTGCGGCAGCTTTCCCCAGGCTCCCTGGAGCCTGGCTCCTGTGTGAATCTCTGTTTGGGGGCTGGGAGTCTTTTCCGGAAGCCACAGCCTGGCCAGCCTCACTTCTACACAGAGGAGCCGGTGGGACCCAAGATTCAAAGGTAGGGCCGCTGAGGATTTAAGCCGTTATCAGCTCCCAGAGGGCGTTTCTCTGCAGGGAATGTCCACTCTCACACGTTTGCTGGCACGTGTTATTCTTCTGCGTGTGAGCGCTGGGCGGCCTGCACGCGAGCGCTCGTCAGGGCTGTACCTGTAGGTCACCTCTCCTCGTGGGCACCAGAGGCTCAGCCGCCTCCCCGCTCGGAGAATAAGTGAGGCCGGGTGGGTATGGGACCCACACGAGGGGTTTATGCTCTAAATATGGTACCTGTGGTTGTATAATCTAATTTATCAGGATGTGTAACGTTTTGGGCAAGATTTGGCATCGGGCTTTTGTCAGATTGAGACGCTGTGGCATCACACCTGACGTTGATGTCGGAAGGCAAAACCGTGGAAAGATGCCTGAGCCGAGAGACGTGTAAACGACTGTCTGAGAAACGAGATTCTACCCACAGAACAGAGGGCATTTCGGAGCAAGCGGGGCTGCGGATGCGAGCTTCCTCAAGCTCAGGACCAGCTATGCCTCCAGGGCCCTGAGTTTAATTCTGGTAAAATGTGCACAGTACAGAATTTACCACCTTGACCATTTTTTAGGTGTACAGCTCAGGGGCATTAAGCGCCTTTTCACTGTTGTGCAACCTTCACCACCCTCATCTCCAGGACTCTTTCATCTTCCCAAACGGAAACTCTGTCCCCATAAAATAACACCCCCCACCCCCAGACCCTGGAAGCCAGCCTCCTGCTTCCCGTCTCTGTGGATTTCACTCCTCCAGGAAGGATCACATAGTGGGAAGCAACCACACAGAATCTGTCCTTTGGCGCCTGGCTTATCTCACTGAGCATCACGTCCTCCAGGTTCTTCTGTGTTGTAGCAGGTGCCGGAGTGTCCTTCCTTTTTAAGGACAATAATGTTCTATTATGTGGACAAACGTATTATGTGTCCATCCATCGATGGACCCTCGGGCCGCTCCCCCCTCGGCTGTTGTGAGTGATGGGCTGTGGGCACAGGTGGGCTGTGACCGTCCATGAACTGGACTTTCTCCAAGGGGCACGGCGTTCCCGCGCCGCGTGGGCTGTCGGATTGATCAGGCACGTCGTAACCAATTGCGTAAACTGGGTCTGCGAACTTTTCAAGGGCCTAAGAAAAGGTTTGAGACCAGAAAATATTGTTTTCCTGGTTTAAAGTACAAAAAGAACACTGCAGGTTTGAAAGTTAAAGGTGTTCAAGTTGTGATTGAAATTTAGCTCTTACGTAGTTGTGACATAATGATTATATTTGATAGGTTTGATATGATGTGGGAACAGGGTTTACAAAGTTCCTACAATGGCTGTGGGGTTGCCATTTATCTTGGAAACTGCTTGTACGACTCAACTGTCTGGTGTCATTTTCCTTGAGTCGTGTGATTTGAGGCATCCGAGACCTCTGACCTGCTATGAAGGAAAACAAGTGAGTTCCCGCGCCGTCCCTGGAGCCTGTGTCCGGTGGCCCTCACAGGTCAGCAGCAAGGCAGAGCGCCGTGGTCAGCACAAGGGCGCTTGTCCAGAGCTTGTCCAGCATGGGGGCTGGTCCACCACGCAGGGGAGGAGACGGCCAAAGAGACAGGCTTCCGAGGGAACCAGCCTTGCCCACACCTGGCCTGCCAGGCTCCAGGATACAAGGCCGTCCTCGTCTGTGGGGTTGTTATGCAGCCTGGCAGACTGATACGGGCATCCCGTGTGATGGGTCAGGGGGCACATTTGGCTTCTCAGGCTGGTCCTGAGTTGGAGGAGGGGCAAAGCCAGGGAAGCTGGGGTCACTGACCTGGGGCTCGCATCTGGGGTCACTGAGAGTTTTGGCCAGCTCCCCAGGGTGGCTGCTCCAGGCTGTGGGTCTGTCTGTAGGTTCAGTCTCCCAGGACCAGAGAGTGTGTCTTGGGTTAGACCGTGGAAACACTTGTCCTCCTCCCAAGGGCCGATTCTGAGTGGAGGGACAGGATCCTGGGCGGGGCCGGGGCCTGGGAAGTGCGGGCGGCAGCGCCCGGTGAGGCCCCAGGACTCAGAACGGCCCACTCACATCTGCCGACCTGCGATGGGGTTGCAGGGAGACCTGCAGACACACTTGGACCTCTGCCGGCACGTAGGACGCACGTGTGGGAAAGGTGCGTCCCAGCTTTGCAGGTGCTTTTTTTTTGAGGGGAAAAGTTTAAAACACTGTTGTCGAACACACGTTGAAATAGACTTTGAGGTGCTTTTTCAAAGGTAAAATTTAAAAGAGAAATGGTACTGTTGTCACTAAGACCTGCATCCTCTGCTCTCTTTTCTCTGCATCTTCATCCCTTTTCGGCATCCGCAGATCCAAATAGGGCTCTGAGTTCATGCTATTGTGTCTCTTTTGAAAGAGCAAAACTTCAGAATGAAATGCTTTAGCACTGCTTTTGTGGCTCCTGAGCTATGGCTTACTGTAGATAAATTTAACTCTAAAATTACAGAAAACCAAAACTCAGAGAAGTGATGAGTCCTGTGACTTGCCATTTTCATTAACAAAAGTGTAAACGAAGCCACTCTGAGATGTTCTGTGTTGCTCAATTCTGTCCTGACTGAAGGCACAGGGTAATTTCTGGATATTTGCATGGGGCCAAAAGAGTCTGTGCTGACAGACAGGCACGGTTCTGGAGCAAATACCAGCCTGGTTGTTTGGATAGTGTGCTCTGCGTGAGGTGCAGTGCGCAGGAGACAAACCAGACCCCTGCCCGCCCACCCCCAGGCGCCCAGCACCGCTGCCCCACCAGGCCCCTGCCCACGACGACCTTCCTGGTCTGAGGATCTGTCCCAATCGGGCGGGCTGGGGGGGGCACCAGGCCCCCCCCCCCCCCCCCCCCCCCCCCCCCCCCCCCCCCGTCTGTGCTCCACACGGCTCTGCTCTCCGGAAGGCTCTGAGGGCTGGGCCTGCTCCAGAACAGGTGCAGGAGTTTAAAACGCAGATTTCCGCGGTGCTTCACGAGGCAGATGACCCCGTGCTTCACGGAATCTGAAAACCGACGGTTCAAAGGGGGCCCACCCCTCATTTCACAGGGAGGGGAACTAGGGCCCAGAAAGGCCCGGCGGTCTCCCCAGATGCCCCGCAACAAATAAAGTGACCTGGGACAGTCTGAGGGTGAGGGCCGCGGGCCCTGAGGACACTCGTCCTGTCACATCGCAGGGTCCAGAGCTGGAGACCAGAGGGGACCGCTGCCAAGATGGGCCCAAAAGAGAAGCGAGGAGAGATTCTGGGCACGCTAACCTCAGAGACGCTCTTGTCTAAACCAATAAAGGGCTCGATCGCTCCCCAGAGAAAGGCTGTTGAAAATACATTTTCCACTCAGTGATAAAGAGAAATTTGCTACCAAGCCCTAAAGTGACACAGAGGACCCTCAGGTGCATATTAGGAAGTGGGAAAAGCCACCTGAAAGGTGACACACTGCACAGCTGCAACCCTGGGACGGTCTGGAAAAGGCACAGCCATGGGGACGTGAAGGGATCAGGGTCGGGGTGGGCGGTGCCAGGGCTGGGGTATGAACAGGCAGAGCACAGAGGAGTTTCTGGGCAGTGAAACGACCCCATATGATTCTCAAGCGTAGGTACACTTCATACGTGTGTCCAAGCCCATCGCATGTACAACACCAAGACCGAACCCTCATGCAACGGTGGGCTTTGGTTTATAATAATTATCAAAATCGCTGGATGGATTGCAGCAAATGTATGACACCGGCTAAGATACTGATAATGGAAACGGAGGCGGGGCAGGGGCATGTACGGGAACTCTCTGCACTTCCTGCCCAATCTTGTAAACAAAACCCCTCTAAGAAAACAATGACTATTCATGTTTAAAAATCCATCTGGATGGAGAAAGCCTGGGAAGGGGAGGGGCAGGAGCCCTGCGGGCGGGGCCTCTCGGGGGCCAACAGGCCACGCGCCACGGCCAGCACTGGGCTTCTGCTGCTGCTCTGGTTGCGGCCCGCGACCCTGGTGACGACGCGGGGGACGCACCTGCCACGGTCCCACAAGGTGAGCTACACGTCCCTGCCCCCTGTCGCTGCACAGTGCAGGGCTGCCCGCACCCAGGCCCGCGGGGCCCCTGGCTCCCAGCCCGCTTTCCTGCCCCGGCTCTGTGCTCCCTCTTCTGTCCCCCCTCCCACGCCCAGCCTGTGAGCGCGCCCGCCTCCCAAGGCTCTCAGGCCCCCGGGACAGCTGACTCCTGACTCACACCCAGGCCCGGCGCCAAGTACCCAGTCCAGTGGCCCCTGCGACCTGGGACAGAAGCTGCTCCAGGGACCCGGCGCGGCGTGGAATGGCAGGGGGCGGGCCCAGGGGAGCGGGGGGGAGGGGGCAGCGGGTGCCGGGGCGACAGTGATCAGCTCGTGTGCATCGTGGTGTGCCAGCGGAGACAACGCGACCTGGCTGTCCTGGGGGCTGTGTGTCACCGCCCTGATCCCCTCATCCTGCCTCGTCCGCGGTGGCCCCTGCACAGGAGCAGCAGGGAGGACTCCGTGCCGCACGGCCCCCTCCCCGGAGCCCTCCTGTCTGCTTGGTCTCTGGGCGGCTCCTCCTCTGTCCTCGGGTCTCACCCGCTGGGCCGCCCCGACCCTGAGCCCAGACGCCTTTATTCTCAGCCCTTGAGAGCTGAAGTGACTTACCCAGAACAGTAAACGCGGAACAGCGGCTCTTTGGGACCCTCAGTAGTTTTGAGCTTGTGAAGGAGATTTCTGAGAGCCGAGTGGAGGGCCCCTCACAGGTGGTGGGCGGGCGGCAGGCCTGGGCTTCAGTCCAACTCCTTGTTGGCTCTGTGATCCCGGGCAGGTCACCTACCCTCTCTGAGCCGCAGCGTCTCACCTGTAAAACGTGAGAGCGTGGGGAGGGGCTGGAAGCTTCATTCGTGGCACCCCTCCCTGCCCGCTGCTCGGCCGCACAGCCGCCTCTTCTGTCCTCTGTGCCTCAGTTTACCCTCTGCCTCCCTCCCCCGGCTCTCCGTCTTCTGGACCCCCGTGGTCTGCGGATGTTCCAGCACAGTGTCAGGCGGGCGAGCCAAGTTTGCAGGGTGGGGGAGAACACGGGGCTGCGGCGGGCACGGGGGGGGAGCCATCGGGGAGGCCTGCGAGGAGTACTCAGAGTGCCAGAGCGGCGGCTGCGTCACCAACAGCCTGAGTTCCCAGAAGTTCTGCAGCCCCCAGGCCGTCTTCCAGCAGTGCCTGTCCTGGCAGAAGGTGTGCCCTGCCCGGGCCGGCGAGGGGCGAGAGGCCAGGGAGGGCGGACCCTGGGAAGGAGGGCTGGGGGCCTGGCAGAAGGGACCAGGTCTCCTTTTCCCGTAGCCGAACGGGCACACCTGCCTGGACCACACGGAGTGCTGGAGCGGCTGCTGCGTCACCAGCAGCTACGGGCTGCAGACGTACTGCACGGTCAAGACCATCTTCCTGCAGTGCGTGCCGTGGTGCAAGGTGAGGCCAAGGGCCGCGGGGCCGGAGGGGGGCACCTGCTGGCTCTGACCGCTGCCCCCAGCCCAACGGGGACTACTGCACGGACCACAGCCCCCAGCCCAACGGGGACTATTGCACGGACCATGGCGAGTGCCGCAGCAAGTGCTGCGTCCAGCCGAACGAGGTCGACCCCCACCGCTGCGTCCCCCGGAGCGGCGTCCTGGTCCAGTGCCTGCCCTGGGTGAGTCCTGGAACCGGGTCCAGCCCGCCTGTGGGGCTAACTCCAGCGACTGGCCTGAGGGCGGGCGGGCAGGCGGGCAGTGACCTGGAAGTGGTGTGTCCCCTCCCAGGAGAGGCCGCCAACTGCCTCTGCAGATCGGCCTCTGTTCCCGTTTCCTGAAGCAGAGCCCGGATGAGGCGTCAGAAAAGGGCACGGGTCACGGGGGGTGGGTTCTCAGGTCCACCAGGGTCGCAGCAGGACACAGCGCTGGATGCCCGGGGAAGGGCCAGCACAGCGGCGGGGGGCGGACCCACGGGACGGGGCAGCACCGGGACTCACTCCTGTGGGGCTGGACGAAGGGAAGGACTGTCTCGGGGGCCTCCCCCCCCATCACCTTCCCCAGAAGAAGGAGCTCAGTGAGGCGGCCCCCCAGGACGCAGGACCTGAAGACACCACGGAGGACGGGGTAGGGGGGCCGCAGAGGGAGGTGGGGCACGGTGACCGGAGGGGCACGGCGAGCAGCTGGGAGACAACACTCTGGTGCCCGAGGTCAGACTCCGGGACCCGTGACTGCAGTCTGACGGAAAAGGTGTGTCGGGGCCCCGAGGGTGAGAGCCAGAGCTTCCTGAGCACGCCCACCTGGCCCGTCAGCACCCAGAGCGGCGGTGGGTGCAGAGGTGCCACGACAGTGAGTCCACGGGTGTCCCGAGGGTGTCGGAGACAACCAGGCCGCTCCGCCGGCAGCCTCGCCCAGAGGCGCGGACCGTCGGTCCCGAGGACAGTGTGGCCCTTACAATCCAGCTGCCCGAAGGCTGCGTCTCCCCGTGCGTTTCCTAATTTTGCTGTGTCTTCTAGTGACTTGGACCCGGTCTGTGCCCTGGAGACCTGCCTGGACCCTGAGCCCCGCACGTGTTCAGGCTGCTCTTCCCGGGATGGTGAAAACCTGCAGGTATCAGACGTCTAGCTGTGAACTCCTGAGACCGCCCGCATCCGGGTGGCCCCTACTGGAACCTCGAGGTGATAACTTAGCATCAGCAAACCTCCCGACTGAGTGAGTGTTTCTGTGGACGTGGAGACACCGGGTCTCAGCTCAGCACCGTCCTAAGGAGCCCCCTTCACCAGAGACCGAGTCTCCCCAGAGGAAAGGGCAGGTGCAGACACGTCCCTCCCCCGCAGGCGCACACAGATGACTGGTCACTGCAGGTAAGTCATCAGTTGGCCGTTCCAACTGGAAAGGCTCCCCTGACCTTGCGGATGGCGCAGTGAGGACATTGGAGCCCGCTAAAGACCCCTGGGGGGGGCTCCCACTGGTCCCACCTTCCCCTGGAGCAGAAGTGCTGGCTGATCTAGAAACTGTTCCCTCTGGTGGCTTCTCGGGGCAAACACCAGAGCCGCTCCTCTGCACCCAGAGTGCCAGAAATGTCACTGTCACCTTCCTCTGTGCCCAGCACCCACCCCGCAGACACCAGGCTGCTTTTCTGGGCTCTGCTAAAACAATTCTCCACCCTGTGCCTCCCCGCTTCTGCCTGCTCCTCCTGGGCTGGAGATGACTATGACAGTACTTGCAGAGTAAGTCATGAGAAGCCGTCGCTCCCACCCTAATAGTGAGAACAAGCCAGGTAAGCCACAAATTATAGTTGTTTTTTTTTTAAAAAAAGAATAGATTTAAACGTAAAACATAAAACTGTAAAGCATTTAGAAGAAAAAGAGGAGAATAGTTTCATGATCTTGGATTAGACAGAGGTCTTAGTCATGACCAAACACCACACATAACAGAAAAATTAGATAAATTGGATTTCATAAAAATTAAAAACTTTTGTTCTGTGATAGACACAGTTAAGAGAATGAAAAGACAAGCCACAGACGAGAAGAAATGACACATCTGACAAAGGACTCGGATCCAGACCATACAAAAAACTCTCAAAAGTTAAGTGAAAACAACTCAATTAAGGGACATTCCTGGTGGCGCAGTGGCTAAGAATCCGCCTGCCAATTCAGGGGACACAGGTTCAAGCCCTGGTCCGGGAAGATCCCACGTGCCACGGAGCAACTAGGCCCGTGAGCCACAACTACTGAGCCTGCGCTCTAGAGCCCACGTGCCACAACTACTGAGCCTGTGTGCCTAGAGCCTGTGCTCCGCAACAAGAGAAGCCCCTGCTCGCTGCAACCAGAGAAAGCCTGCAGGCAGAATGAAGACCCAACGCAGCCAAAAATAAATAAATTAAAAAAAAAAAACCCAATTAAAAACAAGACAAAAAATTTGAACGGACATTTCACCAAGACAATATACAGACAGCTCAGACGCACGAGAAAGCTGCTCCACCATCGTTAGCCCCGAGGGAAACGCAGAGCAGGCTGACGTCCAGCCTGTGATTAGACGGACCAAGGGCCGCCAGGCTGCAGAGCCTGGGGCACCCGCGGCGGACGGGACGCCGGCGGCCTCGCGAGCAGCGGGGGGCGGCCGCGCACACACTCACCAGGGGCGCTGAACACCTGTGTCGCACCCTGACCCGCTCAAGCTCTTCATTCTTGCTCCTGACGCTGCTGCGTGAGTGGACAAACGTGGTGCATCCCCGGACGGGAGGCCCCGCCGCCCGAGGAGGAGCGGCCTCAGAGGCCACGCCCGCGAGGCCCCATCCACGCGATTCTCCAGAAGAGGCTGCAGGCTGGGGGCGGCACGACTGGCCGCAGCAGGGCTTCCGGGGGCGACGAGAGGCCAGGCCCCGGTTGTGAGGGGTGCGTCAGTCTGTGGCTTTCCTCACGGCTCACCCGACTTGGGGAGACTTTACTGTCGCTCGTGAGCCCCACGTGAAACGAATCTGGTGGAGCCCTGGGGACGCTGGTGTGTTTGAGCTTGTGCGGCAGGGAAGCAGGACGGACGTGAGGAAACAGGCAGCCGCCACAAGCTGAGGACCCCCGCGGCTGGCCGCTTGGCATGCAGGGCTCTCGGGGAGATGGGCAAGGAGAGGACGCTTGGACCAGCCCTGGGGTCGGGGCCGCCCGTGGGTCGTGGGTCGAGGTTCACTGCAGGGCGCCCCCCTCCCCCCAGGGTCCTCTGGGCGGGCGAGTCTGCAGGAGGCCGGGCAGGCCTCCGGGCTCCGTCCAGCGTCCGCCAGGCCGCCCTCTCCCCCGCAGGCCACCACTCGTCCACCTTCTGTCTCTGCGGCTTTGCCTGCTCTGGACGCTCCGTGGAGACGGACTCACACGATCCGGGGCCACTGTGGCTTCCTTCACGGATCACGATGCTCTCAAGGCTCATCCACGCTGTCAAGTGAGGCAGAACTTTGCTCCTTTTTGTGGCTGAGTAACATTCCACCGCGTGGCTGCAACTACATGCTGTCTACCAGCATCCGTGGAGGGACACGCGGGTTCTTTCCATTTCTGACTCTTCTGAGTAAAGTTGCTGTGCACATTCCTATACACGTCCTCTGTGGACACAGGTTTTTAATTCTCTGGGCCTGTACCAGGAGTGGGACTCTGGCTCATACAGTTACTCCACGTCTCACCTCTTAGGAAATGCCAGATTGCTCTCCACAGCACCCGCGCCCTGTCACACTCCCACAGGCGCTTTGCCCACACCCTGCACGACGCTGCTTATGGTCTGTCTTCTTGGTCCTATCCCAGTGGGCGGGAAGTGGATCCCAGAGTGACTGCAGCTCGTTCTTTAAAAACAACAAAACAGGACTTCCCTGGTGGCGCAGTGCTTAAGAATCCACCTGCAGGGGACACGGGTTCAAGCCCTGGTCCGGGAAGATCCCAGATGCCGCAGAGCAACTAAGCCCGTGCGCCGCAACTACTGAGCCTGCGCTCTAGAGCCCACGAGCCACAACTACTGAAGCCCGCGCGGCTAGAGCCCGTGCTCCGCAACGAGAGAAGCCACCGCAATGAGAAGCCCGCGCACCGCAACGAAGAGTAGCCCCCGCTCACTGCAACTAGAGAAAGTCCACGTGCAGCAATGAAGACCCAACGCAGCCAATAAATAAATAAATAACAACAACAACAAAACCGGGACTTCCCCTGGCGGGGGCACGGGCTCAATCCCCGGTTGGGGAACTAAGATCCCACATGCCCGCCCGGCGCCGCTCCCAGCAAGGCCAAAAATAAATAAATAAAATAAACCCAGCAAAACCAGAAGGATCGCTCTCCTTAGCTCAAAATACTCTGGAGACTCTGGGGTAGCGGCGGGACCTTCGCTGTGGCGCAGGGTCCCCCGCACGGCCAGCAGTGTCCGACCTTGTCCCCGCCTCGTTCCCTGAGGTTCTGCCCACCGACCCCTCCCTCTCCGGGAGCCGGTCTCGCGCCGCAGAGCCACGGGGCGCCCTTTGCCGAGTCCGTACTCAGACGCCTGGTTCTCAGCGGGACCCCGGCCACCCTAGTGCCGGCCCCTCCGTGTGTCCTCAGGTGCGGGGCCTTCCGATGCTGCGGACGCTCCGCCTGCTTCATGGTGCTTCAGCTCCTGGGGCGCTGGGCCCGCCGCGCGGGCGTCTTGCCGGTTCTGTTCTTCGATGCACCCACAGCGACCCCACCCGCCGGCACCCCACGGGCACAAGGGAAGTTCCGCCCGCGGCCGCCAGGTGGCGCTGGGGGTCGGCAGCCGGCCAGGCCCCGGGGCGCCCCAGCGGCTCGCTCCTCCCGGGATGCGGACAGACCCCGACGTTTCCCCTTTGCAGCAGGAAAACAGCAGTTTGCCCACTGGCTGCAGGCCTCGCGCAGGTTAGCCCGGGTGAGCGCCGCACGCGAGGGGATTCCTGGCGGGGGGGGGTCCCTCTCGCGGGGATCGGCCGGAGCCCGCGCTCCTCCCCCTCCAGGAGAGCCTGCTCCCCTCGAGGCCGGGCACTCCTCGGAGAACGTGGTGTCCGGGGCGAGCTGCCCCCGCGCGCACGGCTGACAGAGCCTCGGGGCGGCGTGGGCGCCGCGTCTTCCCCGTGTCCCCACGTGGTGCTCCCTGTGTCTGTTCTCAGGACGCCTGTCCTGTGGGATTCGGCCCTACCCTAATGACCTCGTTCTCCCTCAGTCACACATTTAAAGGCCCCGTCTCCACGCAGAGTCACATCCTGACGTCCCGGGGTCAGGGCTTCCACCTGTGAATCTTGGGGACACAGTTCAGCCCGTGACACCCTCCAAGTCGTTCTAGAAACACGTAGATGGGTGGGAAGAGCTGCCGGGCCCCAGGCCCTGGGAAGGGAGGGAGAGGAAGCGGCGGTTCACGGAGGGGCCCCGGGTGGGGTTCTCATCTGTCCCCTTGAAGGTCCTCCGGGTCCCCCCCCCCCCGCTGGCCTCCTGCCATCCTGGGCGGCCCTGATTTGATGGCAGACCGAGGGCTCCTCGGAGGAGGGACCCCGGGATCCACCTCGGGTCCAGGGCCAGGCAGAGCAGGAGGAGGGGGTCTGCAAGGGAGCTGGCGACAGGTGATCTGAGGGCCACTTTCCACAGGGGCTCACGGGGGTCACTCGATGGTGGTGGCCCCACCTCTGAGGCCTGGTGGCTGGGCGGCCGCGGGGACTTTGCCGCGGTGCTGGGGGCCGGGGGCCACGGTCCCGGGCACCACCCTGCGGAAGAGACTTGGGTGATTCTTCATCCAGAGCAAGTCGCACAACGTCTCCCACGTCACGGGGAGGACGGGACGACCTCCTCTGCAGACGAGAAAGCGGTCTCCACGGGTGCCCCCAGGCCTCCTCGCCCCCAAGTTCACACGCAAAATGCTGCGGACGCCTGTCCGCCGTGGGCAGGAAGTGGGTCTACAGTTTTCCTGACTTTTTTTCTTCCCCCAAACTTCTTATTCTGTAGTCACAGAATGCAATTTTTGAAAAACTGTGGTAAAACACACGACGTAAGAATTTCTCTCTCAGCCATTTTAAGCGCACAGCCCAGGGGCATTCAGTACATTCGCACTGAGCGACCGTCCACCACCATCTCCACAAATTCTCATCTCCCCAGACGGAAACTGCCCCCTCAGACCCCTGACACTTTGGCAGGCGTCCAGCGCCGAGCAAGGCCGAGCCCGTGGCCCGCGGCCGCCCCGCCTGTGAACGGTCGGTGCCGTCCCTCTATCCGCGTGGGGAGGGGTGAAGCCGCCTCCCTGCTGCAGGCTCTGCCTGGCGGTCACTGCTCAGCGCGGCCACTTCCTGCGCTAAGAAGCTCTGGCTTAAAGCCCAGTGGGTCACGAAACTATCGATAATTCCCCGGGACGCGGGGCCACGATGGGGAGACGGTCAGGGGACGGGAGCTTCGCGCTCGGGACAAGTGGCCGTCACTGGAGACACTCCGCGTGGTCTCCCCCAAAACTCTGATGAGAAGTGACAAGAGGTGTCGGCTCCCTGGGTAGGGTTTCGGATTAAGTCTCTAGGTGGCTGATCCCCGAGGTGCTGCGGGCTGAGCGCAAGCATGCCCCTGGAAGCGCTTTGTGGCTACGGTAACGTGGCTGGAGAGAAAGCGGGCGCTTTGTGGTACCGATGCGGCGAGCGCCGGCGGCTGGAGCCTCGGGGGCGGCGTGGGCCCTGCAGGACCCGCGGGCAGGGAGCCCCGAGCACTGGGAGGTTTGCTGGGGAGAAGGAGGGCGGGGGCGCTGCGTCCTGCGGGCGTGAGGGGCACGGGAGGGAGGGAAGACCCAAAGTTTGGCTTTTGCAAAATATAATAGAAGAGACAAACCTCTGAGAGTCTGACTGACGAAAGAGGAGACACCGGTGAGCCCGAGGAACGTGAAAGACAACAGTCTCAGAGGAAAGAAAGTTGTAAAAACTGGAAGAAGCGTGCTGTGTGGACCCATTCGCTTGATGCGCCCACATTCCTGAGAGCAGACCCATTCCCAGGAAGATAAAAACTGCCCAAACTGTCTCTGAAACCAG